ATCCTGTTATTTCATGTCAACTCATGCAGTCATATGTGTCGGCTCATATTGTTGTTTTTTGCCTAAAACACAGTGTTTAATCATTTAAACACTAATTTGCATACCAGTAACTTATCCCATAAATTCTTATCACAATAAATCAATATTCTACTATTTTAGCATCCTAATTTCATCTATTATATTATAGAATCATTAAATAACAACACCACGCAACAATCATATCAATTCATCATCATCAACACGTAATTTCGTCATCATCAACACATCCATCATCATCAACACAAAAATCATCTCATGGTATGGTATCAAAGATTGGAACACAATAATTCATCTAATTCATTCATCAACAATCAATCACAAAACAACAAAACATAAGTCTACCCATCCCTTATACAATATATAATTAACCACGATTAACCCCCTTACCTTAGAATTCTCTTAAAAAGTGCTTCTTTAAACTCTATGGATGAATTCCTCCTTGTTCTTCTATGCCCTAACCTCCTTCACATTTTTCTTCTGTTTCTCTTTATTTCACGTATGATGCAAAAGTGTTCTCATTTTCCCTAATTTTTCTTTTTATTTGGCCATTTATACTCTTTCTATGTTCTTCCCTTTATACCTTCACTTACCCTTACACAATAACAATCATGCCTTTAATATCTCTATACTCCTAATTATCATATTTACCTCATTTATTTTAGTAATAAACTATATAGGATTATTATTTAAATAATTCTAATTAATTCTCATTCTCACTACTATTCTCACCAATATCCAATACTCCCAACCACATAAATAACACAAAATTCACAAATAATTATAATAACAACGAATTCTAAATTTGGGGTGTTACACCTCACATCTTTCACCTTTTCTACACCTCCAAAAGACTTTTCTATAATTTCTCAAGCTTCTTTTGCAGATTCTACATCGCTCATCTTTTCAAAATTGTCTGGACTTAGACATTGATGAATTATAAAGAGAGTTTTATAATTCTTCTTCTTCAATTCTTTGTGTGCGGCCTCTTCTTCTTCTATTGTGTTCTCCTTGAGCGTTTCTAGCCCTTATTTCACAAGATCCCAAAGATCTTGACAGCATAACACAACTTTCATGTGCTTGCACCAATTCTCATAGTTATCAACTTTTAGAATTAGAAGACTTGCTGAAAAATGCTCATTCGGATTATTCATTACCATCGTGATTTTCTTACCTGAATCGCGTGACTAGAGCTCTAGATACCAATTGTTGAAAATCCACCAAAATCTATGGAGAATTTCTATCAATCTTGATGAACAAGATTGTTATCGATAAACATTAACAATTAAATGAAAGAAAAATGAGGAAGAAAGAAAATCAGTTTGACAAAATATGAAAGACAATGATTTTCTACAGATTCTCTGCCCACAAACTATGAAAAACTTCTTATTATTTTCTTGTAATTGCAAGTTTCACGTTCTGTGAATTGTATCAAAATGGAGTTACTCCCACTATTTATTATTGAGCTTGCTTGATTTATAAGCCAGAGTCTAAAATACAAAAATCCGAAGTACTTAATTCTACTAACAAAACAAAATTATGCCTAAATCACAATCTTGTAGGAAGCAACCTGCTTCGACACTTCAACACACTATACAACTCGGCAAATAATTAGTCTAATTCGACACACCCTTGTTCTATCGAGCAACATAATATTTCGTCACAAGAGATTACAATCTCAACAATAGACAGGTAAAGTAGACAAGAAAAACCGTTCAAATATAATGTTCATCTAATTAAATGACATGTGAAATAACGATGTAAATAAAGAAAAACTCATTGAATAATAGAAACTTGACTTGTATGCAATTAAGTTAAAATGTGGTTGCCTATGGCAAGCTGCCTGGCGGGACCCACCACCACGATCTGTCTCACTTCTCGTGCGTAAAACATGGAAAAATATGTGAAAGAGAAAAATCATCTCCCCGCATTTTGGGAGAAAGAATCTTCTCTATCCAACGTTTCTGATGATGAAACTGTGGGTGGGAATCGCTTCTAATTAATCATATTGGATGTCTATAAATAACCTAGCCTATTAGGTTAAAAGGGATAGACACAAATTTCAGGAGGAAAATATATGATCTCTCTCAATCACCATATATAAAATAAAATGTCTAAAAGAGATATTTTTAAAATAAATATATTCTATGTAGTTTAAAAAAATATTTAAAAGAATTTTTTTTAAAATATATTTTCGTTAAAATTAAAAAATAAAATGATTTTTAATTAAAAAATATAGCATTTAAATTAATTTCACAAATAGAGAGATAATCATCCAAATAAAAGATGTTAATGAATAGATTGGATACTTTTTTAATGGAATTTTAGTAAAATGTTACTGGATTTGTTTGATTCCTCCCTCAAAATTCAAATTCATATTCATCCAATTTATCCATTTTGCCACTACAAGATTGCCCAAGCTTTATAAACACTAACAAGTGATAACTTAACAAGTGATAGCTTGCTGAATAACTCAGATGTCTTAAATTTAAAATGATATTGGTTCCATTAATTCCACTAGTCAAACAAGGCGCAGATTGTTGGTTTTAAGCGCTTCTTCTTCAGACTGGGATTCGCTACCTTTAGCGCGTGAAAGGCACGCTGCCTTTCTCTCTTTCTCTCACCTACAATTCTCTCTCTCATCTTATTTTTTCTTTTTCTTATATTTTATACTTTACAAAAAATACTTAAATTTGCCTAAAGTTACCTAAAAGTAGCTAGGCCAAAGTTACCTGATCCTTTCCGCTTCTTCTCCATGGTGGTAAGAAAGATTCAGATGAGAATGGTGCTGTTGGAATGCATACAGGGTGGATTGTACCACACACTTCCTTCTTATTTGTCCATTCAGAAAATAATGAAACAAAATTATCTCCTCCTCTCTATATATCATTTTCAATCAGAACCAAATGAAACTTTCCTATCTTTTTAACAACAACCTAATAAGAAAAAAGTACTTACAAGTTCAAGCAAGAGATTTCAATTCATCTGCTCCAAGCTTCTAACCTGCATATTATTATTCCCATAAAGTTTGGTTCATCAAACTCACAAGAGCAAGAAAAAACTGGATCATAAATTTCAAAAGAAAAACTCAAATATTGCTAACCTATTTTCCTACAAGTATCAGTCCAAGTTTTAATCATGGACATGTGAAACAGAAAGCAATACAAACACAGCATATCAGCTTAAAAACTAAAAGGAATAACTGAATTAATAATTGTAGCAAATTAAATTGATATTAACTTCCATCGCCTAGTAAAGTGTAAGAGAGGGAAAACTACAAACCAACTTCATTTTTTGTCTCTAATTTTTGTATCATATGATTCCAACTCTTCTGTAAAACATCGAACACAAACTAATGCCTAAAGGTAAAATACCGAGTATAGATCCTTTATAGAAGAATCAGGAGAATAATATCACATGAAGTTATGAGAAAAAAGACTGTGTGGTAAACCTCATTTTAGCATGTCCTTAAGTAATGTAGAAGAAAAATCACAACTGGAACAAAGCAAGAATCACAAATTACATTACTTGAGCAGAGATCCAAGGTTCTTAGTTTGCTAAGAGAAAAGAGAATTGCAGTAGACTTTGTGGAACTCGCATAAATTGATTTGAGGATTTAAGAGCAGGTTCTAGTTTTTTGAGAAAGAAGAAAAAGTGAGTTTCAAATGGGTAGAGATTGAGAAAATGAGAAACTTATAAAAGGAAACAAGGCTTCAATGATATAAAAGGATTTTAAATATCAAAACCATACGATGGGTTAGGACTTTGGGGCCTGACCTGTTTTTAATATCAAGGGCGTATATGTATATATAAAGTGTTAGTGCTTTTTAGTGTGGTATACTCCATTCTACTAATATGGTATGGATAACACAAAACTAAGCACACCCCTACAAAACTGTAAGCAAGCTCTCACTTCGCAATTGAAATAAAGGTTCGAGTTACTGGTAAGCGAAGAACAAGGGGCAGGAAGGAAAGCCAAAACACAACTTCCTTATCAATATTTGTTTCCAACCACTAAATATTTGGAGATGATTGACATTTAGGAAAGTATATATATGAAGAAAGAATGCAGAGAATAGCAGGTAACAAAATAAATGAAAATGTATCTTACTTGTTCATTTCACTTGCAGAATTAGCTGCAGCCTTTTTGCCACAGTTAAGTCTCACACAGCAGCAACATACATTTTTTTATAATAAGCTAGAAATGTAATAGCAGTTCTTCATCTTGGTACATCAACAACCGTGTCGAATTGTGCTTCCAAATATATATTGGTGCTATCAATTACTGCAAATTAACCTTTCCAAAACAAAGCTTCTCCCTCTACAGGCTTATAACAAACATGCTACCAATCTGCTTACACTGAGAGATAAAATGAAACCAAGGTAAAATAAAATATTACATACGTGCAATTTTTTATGGTTAACATTGAAATCCAGCGGTAGATACTGGGTATCCAGATATCCTACTTCAACATTAGAACAAGAAGCTAAGGGCCAGTTTGATTTCAGAAAGCAATTTGAATTTAAGTTTTTAATTACAAAAGTGTCGCCTTGTTTCCACTATATCCTATTTTCAAAGTTTTATATAGGAAGACAACACTAGAAAATGATACTCAAAATTCCAAATACCCCCACCAAGCAAGTATGAGCTTATACTATGATTGGATTCCGTGTGACCTTTCAAAAGTGACATTGTCTGTTACATGATACAATATGTGCAACCCAGAACAGATGAACTCCGTAGTGCAACAGTCCAATAGCAGAGTATGCAACAAGGTCCAGCAACATGAGGCTAATTCTTTGTAATATGTTTAGTGTCCACAGCCATGGCTATATCAGATACTGGATGGTAAAGCTAGAGGAGAAGTAAATAAAAACAATGGTCAACCTCTGCAAAATGTTTTTCAGGCAGCATCATTATGGATGTTCAAAAAGAAGAAATTAATTGGTCTCCACACCAATTTTCAATCTGGCAACAGCTTACAACCCTTTGACTTTAGTTTAGATTCTAGACCAAAGAACTTCAACCCTGATATTACCAAATCTGCTGTCTTTTTCTTCATGTGATCAATTAGTAATTCGTCATACACAATTGTGTCAGATTCCATCAACAATTTGCGCTCCCTCAGATTCGAGAAAACCTTTCTGGCCTCCTCAATTGTTCCATACTTACACATGCCAAATATAATTGCAGAACATACAACATTGTCTAAAGAGCAACCTTGTTGCATCATCTCATTCAATACATCGATCACCTTTTCCGCATCATTTGACTTACAAATGTGAATAATGGCAAGACAATACTTAAATTCCATACGTCCACTATCAACATTGCCTAGGCAATCTCTAACAAGCAGCATAGCTTCATCAATCTCTCCAATTTCACAAAGTCCTTTAGCAAGGCAACAATAAGCAGCCACAGAAGGAATGCAAGACATCTCAATGATCTTATTATGACATGCACATGCCTCCTTAATTTCACTGCGATCAACAAAGCAAAGAATTGCTATGTTATATATAGATGAGTCCGGCTTCAAGTCTGAGCCCTTTATTTCATCAAAGAGTGATAATGCTTTCTCCACTTCACCACTCAAGTGAAGAGAATCCATAACAACCCTGTATATTTCAACACTAACATAACCTCTTTCTTTCAAGTGTGTAAATACCTCTAGTGCCAATACCGGTCCTTTCTTTTCAACCAAATGGGAGAAGAATTTGGAGAGATTATCAATAACCGAAAATCCCAATTTCTCCATCTTCTCGAGCAACTTATGAAATTCTTCCATTCGTTTCTTTTCGGCGTAAGAAAACAATAACGGTTTGACAGTCAAGAAGTCTGGCTCAAGATCCTCCTGAATAGTAACTTGGAAAAGCTTATAGGCCTTCTCAACCTTATTCATATTGCACAAACCTTCAATAAGGCTATTATAAATCCCCAAATCAGCCCGGTATCCCGAGCTCACTAAATCCTTCAACAAATCAAAGGCCAAACCAACCTTATTCCCCGCCACAAATGACTCCACCAACGATCCATATATTGCTCTATCTATCAAATGACCCTTACTCTTCATCTCCTTGAACAACTCATAACCTTCCAAAACCCTTCCCCCTTTAGCCAAACCCCCAATGATAGTACCATATGCCATGACATCCGGCTCGACTCTATCTCTCTTCATTTCCTCCCAAACCCTCAAACAACCATCTAAATTACCCTCCGGAACCATAATCCGAACCAATGCAGTATACGCAAAAACATCCGGTTTACACAATTTCTTCCTCATCCTTCTCAAAAGCTCTAACATCTCATCAATTTTCCCAGCCTTACACAATCCCTTAATCAAAATCATAAAAGTAACACTCTCTTCAACCAATCCATCCTCCCTAAAATCACCATAAACCGACAAGGCCAAATCCAAATGCCCCGTCTTAACCAAAGCATCCATAATCCTATTATACAAAAACACCCTAGGTTTCACACCAAACTTGTTCCTCATCTTATCATAAACATGATAAACCCTAAGACCTCTCCCAGCATCGGAATGCATTCGAAGTAAGATCTCAAATTGCTTCTCCGACGGAGGCTTTCCCTGAGCGTCCATCAGCTCAGGGAGATTATCCGCAGCGCGGAAATGGTTTGCACGGTTAAGGCAATAAGCGAAGGCGTTGAAGGATGCGAAATTATGGTGATAACCTTTCTGTTTCCCCACCCAGTGAAAAAACTTGAAAGCGAGGGTAGGGTTAGTTTGGAATTTAAGCACCTCGGCGACTAGGGTGGGAGTAACCCTGCGGAGTTTGTTGAGTTCAGTTACAACGGGTGGACCCCATTTGTAATCGTTTTTGCGGAAGGCGTCGATGATGAATCTGGCGATTGGGGAGAGGCGGATGGAGGCGGAGAATGATGCCTCCGGGGATGGTGATGGGGAGTTTGAGTGGGAGAGAAAATGTGGGTCCCATTTTTGGATTTGGAAAAGGTGAGTATGTTTGTTGGTTTTAGGTTTGGGAGGAGGGAGAGTTTGGCGATTGGAGAAAAGGCCGCCGCGTACGGTAGGACGGTTTTGGGAGGGTTTGCGGTGACCATAGTAGAAATAAAATTTGTTGGGGGGTGTTGGTGTTTGAGGAGGCATTTTTTAAGAAGAGGAAGAAGAACAAACGCGCTGCTTGTTGAACTATACTATTGTGTTTTGAAGATTTTGAAAGATTTTGTATTAGTCGATTTCTATTTAAGTCTTTTTCTTTTAATATCTTTTTCATTTTCTCCCAACTTCTTCATCTTTCTCTTTCTCTTCCTCTTCCATCTTCTTCTTTCTCATTTCCCCCCAAGTCCGAAACCAATTCCTACTTTTCTTTCTTTTCCAACTTCGTCTTCATCACAAAATCTTGATCTTCATGTGCTTTAAATAAAAGTATATGGAAATAGGGTTTGGAACGACGATGAATATAAAGGTTCGTTAGGGTTATGAGCGAGATTTATGGGTTTGGTTGATATTGGTGTTTATCTTCTTCATTGCTATTATTCATACTTTGCGGTCTTTTCCTCTTCGATGATATTAATCCTACTTTGCGTTCTTTGTCTACTTCGATTTCAACTTCTTCCTCGCAAGCTTAATCATCTCCGTTGCAAAGCTTATGATGTCAGATATGTACTTTTATTCTCATTTTTTGTTTACATTAATTGGTATTTTATTTGTGTAGATTTTAGGATTCCCTCCTCTTTCAGTTTATACCACTAGGTGTTCGATAAAATTCTGCATTAAAACCTCGATTTTGTTATATTCCCTACTTTGTTCTTTTCAACAAAGTTTAGTTTTTCTTAACATATTTGTTCTTTGACATGTTTGGATATACTTATTTGAGCTTAATTTTATAACTTTTGTAGGATTGCTTATAAATTATTGAGTTAATATATTTCATTATGGTTTATACTGGTTTTGATTTTTATGGTTCATGCATATAAAGTTGATGTCAACTTTATGATTCACATTGTTTTTACGGTTTAGCATCAAGGTTATTACTGATTTGTGTTACATCAGTCAATATGTATACTCTATTTGAGGTTTCCTGTATATAATTCGATTTATTTTGATTGATATCTTTGTATTGTAGGTGAGGTTACATTTGGTCATCTTCAAACTCTGATGATTTTAAGGTATGCACACTTTGTGAAATAGTAGTGTTATATTGCTATCTCATATCAGAATTTAAACTAATTGTCGTTGTTTTGTCATACAATATTTATTTTACGATACATTATTTAGCATAATTATTTAGTGCAAGGTGTTATATATATGGTGTTACTTCATTTTGGACTTTAAATAATTTGCTATTATTCTATGATACATTATTTAGCACAATTATTTAGTGCAAAGTCTTGTCGCAATATCACAGTAGCTTAGTGAAAATTTGAACACCCTAATGGCCAACATATTTAATAGAGGAAAACTGCAATGGCCTAAATTTTTGTGCTTATAAATTTAAATTAGCAATATCCCTTTTTTATATGGAGTTTAATTAAGTTCTTTAATGAAGGGTTTGTTTGAAAATTTGTTTTTTAAACTGTTGGAATTTGTTCTAAAGTAAAAAATTTAGACTTTTGAATATATTGTATCAGCTTTGTTCTTCATCATTTGATTCTGTTTCAGTTACCAAATGCAAGAGGGGTGAGGTTACATTGTCACTTTTTAGAGAGAATAAAAATGAGTTTGACATTTGTGATACGGTGGCAGAACCGACTGTTTTTACTGGTTTGCGTTTTACGTTTTTCGTTTGCAAAATGTCGCGGTAAGCAAGAGTCACCATCGACTTTTATTTTATCCAATCATGGAAAAGGAAAAAAAACAGAAAAAACCTTTTTTCGAGATATTATGAGTACGGGGGGTAGATTATAGAAAGGGAAGGTGTTAGCATCCTTTCTATCCGTAGTTATCTACGGGCTCTTGGTACTTGCTCATTTTTCAAATTGCTTGTGTGTGTTTGTCTGAAAATGTTTTACTTCGTGATAACCCTTGTATCAGTCCTCAAGGATGTGACGAAGTTTGTTTTGAAAATTTGTTTTGAAAGGTGTTTGTGTGAAAGGTTTTTATTGAGCAAGTACTTAAGATTCTACCTACTCGAAAAAAGATTGTTTGTTCTCGTTTCCTTTAGACAGCGCTATCCCACTATTAAGGAGTATGTAGCACCGTCGTTGGAATTTGTAAGGGACATTCGAAAGGGACAAGTACAGTCACTAAAGCAACAGTTAGAAAACTTTAGTAGTAACCCTAAAGTCTTAAGATCTTTCCGAGGCAACATTCGAATGGGACATTTTGATCTTTTTAGACTGGAGGGCAACCACTAAAATCTCCTATGCTTAATGACTGTTTACCGAAGGCAACCGAAGTGAGGTAAACCCTAGGAGTGAATGTGTGCATGTGAATTGTTTCAGTTATTTAATCTTTGCACATTAGGTGATCTACCGTTTAAATTTCTAGACATTCTGTCCATACAATCCTATTAGCATACATCTAGACAGTTAAATATTTGCAGGAATTTAAAATGCGAAAAATAAACCTAGCTATTACAAGGCTTTGACAGTTACATAATTATCTTAACAAAAAATAAAAATGCGGAAACTTAAAACGCTGGTTAAAACTATTACAAGCTCGAAACAGGTACAATAATAATAAAACAAATTAAATTGCACGCGGCAAATTAAATGCGAGGAGAAATTGAAAACCCTAAAAATCTGACTAGAAAATATTTAAGTTATTTTTTGAGAAAAGAATTAATTAAGTCATGTGCGACTAAAACCCTAATTCTAATTATTTTAATTATGAAAAGAAATTGAAATTAACCTAATCTAAACCAAATTAAATAATTTCAAGAAAAATAAAATATTTTACAAAAAAGAAGATTTTGTGTATTTTTAAAGAAAATTAATTAAATTATGTACAATTCAAATCCTAAGTCTAATTATTTTTAATTATAAAAAGAGATTAAATTGTCCTAAGTTAATTAAACTAAATTAATTAAGAAATAAAATATTTTTATTAAAAAAGATTTTTGTAGTTTGTTGTGATTTTTTGATTAAAAAAAGAAAATGATTTTTGGGTTAATTAGTTAAAACAAATAAAAGAAATTAATTAAAGAAATTAAAAAAAGAAAGAAAAGAAAATGCAAACTGGGCCTGTATGCTAGCAAATGGGGGGTGTAATTCTGAGTTTCCCAAGCCCAATAACCCTTCAAGCCCGATCAACATTTGATTCCTTGTAGCGTTGACTTGAGGGCGTATCATAGTCCTTCACTACTAGAGCGTACATCTGGCTGGGTGATAGATCCATTGGTTGGCTATTGGAAGCGCACGATAGGCCCTTTGATAAGAATTGTATGCAATTTGTGTACAGAAAATAAGAAAATAGGCGTTGCTGGGACCTGGGATCGAACCCATATCCTTATGTTTACCAACCACCTGCTCTATTTTGACTTGTTGTTAATGCAATAAAAATAAAATATGATATAAAGAAAACAAATGGCCAAACTCCACGCGCGCGAATTTTCAAACGGGCGAATGGATGATTGCCACGCCATCGTCTCTTTCCCCAGGACTGTCGCTTTTTACATTAACCCTTTACCTACGGACAAACTCGTCACTATAGGCTATAGTGACGGTTTCTTATGCGTGGCTAAAACCTGCAAAAATCTTAAAACAAAATTCAAGTAACATAAACTCCATTCAAGGGCATGAATCAACTGTACTTCATCCCCTGAACATGAAGAGACCCTTAATTTGGCCCAATTTTGCCTCTAGCTAGGGTTCCCCAATTTGGAGCTCACGAACCCTAACTATGGCAAGTAGTTATTCCTGCATCAAAACTCAAATCCAAGCTATCAAAAAGCTTCCTAGCATGATCCTAAATATGTATATGCAAGCAAATTGGATTAAGAATGTGTAAAACTAGAGGAACAAGTTTGAGTTCAGAGGATGCAAACCGTGATGTATAGTTGGTGATTTTGGTGGTTTGATGACTTGAGAATGATTTGAATAGCTTCTATGCATGCCCAGGAAGATATAGCTTCAAATTGCCTTGAATCGCCCTATAAACTGAAAATCGAATCCCACTTTTTGCAAGAAATCCACGTTTTGTTTAATGCTTTTCACGACTGCAAAACCTTGTCCCATGCTTTGTTCTTGTCAATTATATATCTATGAATGAATTAGGGTTGTCAAATTGGATTTAATCTTTGAAATTATAAGAGATTTGATTTGATTTGATTTTCATGCTACATATAAACTTGTTATTTTGAGCCAAATCTTCCCTTTCTTGTACCAATTATGCTTGATTCGTTTTGGCCTTGATAATTCAGCATATTTTGATTGCCAACCTGTCCAAAAACCAAATCAAATCATATCTTTGCTATTATTCATCAATTATTAGATTTAATTCAATTTTTAATTAATAAAAAATCAAAATAAATTGAAAAATGAAGCAAATAATGTATGGATGAATATTTGGGTTGTGGACCACATTATAAGTAAGGTACAAGCATAAAAAGTTAGGCCCATTTAGCAAAAAATGCATTTTTGAGCACATTTGACTTTTGGCAATTTTGCAAAAAAGGTCAATTTTGACAAGGCATATCTCCTCCAATTTTAACCCTAGAGAGGTGTTCTTGGACTTTTTAGAAAGCTTAGGATGTCCCCTAAGCAACCCTTTTGGTCTCATCTCAATTGAGTCTTCCATGTCCATGTAAGAAACTTTGACCCAAAAGGTGTTTTTATTGACTTTTCAAAAGGACCCATAATGTAGAAATTCATATCTTTTTATGAGTGCATATTTTGAACTTGTGGGATGAAGATGAATTGTAGGTGATTGCATCCTCTTCAAAATGAGCTTTGGATGGAAAATTTATGATAAAGCATGTGGAAGTTATGCTTGATCAAAGTTTGGTTGACTTTTACTAAGAAACCCTAATTTAGCAACTTTTAGGTTTTGATGAATTTGGAGCATTCCTTGGGGAATCATGATCAACCCTTGATCAAATGATGAAAGTAACTTCAAAATGTTGATGCTGACCAAAAATCTTGAAGTTTGACTGTATGTGGATCACAAATGACTTTTGACCTAATATAGTCGATTCTCAAGCATCT